CTGAATATGGGGATGTCAATGGATTTGGTTTTTGATGCTATGTGCTCAGCGATTCCTAGTGTGTGAGGTTTATAGTTTCTGTAGAAGAGTACTGAATGCAAAGTTCTGCTGAAATTTTTACCTGTGCATGAAAGCTTCTCATTTTTGTTACAACTTTTAACTCAGCCTGTACTACTTGTGTTCCTTTCATGTTCAATAACGAAGCAAGAGTTTTCAGTGATTTGATCACAAATCCCCTTGACCGTTTAACAATTTATAGGCAATATTTTCACTTTTTTTTTTTTTTTTTTTTTTTTTAAGATTTCTGATTCAATATCTTAAAAGTTTAAACTACTTTTTCATATCAAGAGGTTAAATAATGTTTTTGGGCTTTTCAGTGTACACAATAGTTTTGGATTTGTTGTTATCTATATTCTTCTGTGTGAAGATGAAATTTCACTTCCAGTGTCTGTAAAGACAGTGGTGAATGGTTTTCTCACGGAGCTTCTAATGAACTTGTAGAGGGATCATGCAGTTACGACTCTAAATTTAATACGTAATGAGGGTTATTCTAGCATTTTTTTTTTTTTTTTTTTTTAGACAGCCCAGGCTGCATCCTTTGCTTTGTGGGTATTTTTCATATTTTGCTTGATAAACACTTGTACTCTTATAGCATAGGTGGGCTAAGAATACAGAAACTGATCAAGGGAAATGGCGCAGGGTAGGGAGGTATTCAAGTACCAGTTGGAATCAGAATCTTCCATGAGCATTGCTGTTTAGATTTCGAATGGGAGCATAGCTTTCCTATCGTGATGGGATGGCAAAGTTTCCCATCTCTGAAAGTGCTTTACTTTGTGAGTTCACATGCCTGATACAGTGAGTAATAAAAAGTATTTTGAAATTTGCACTAACAGTGGGAGATGTTGCACAATTCTGTTCTGTTTTATATAGTTTTGTATTACGACACAATTTATATAAATACAAAATAATAGATTTAAAAGTCACAGTAGTTAACTGTTAGCTTTTGGGGAAGATTTATTTCTTCCTACATTTTGCTGTCTCTGAATTTGTGATCTTTGAGTCGATGGTTACAACAGACGTACAGTATGTAATTGAAAGTCAGTTATTTCCTGTGTTGTGTGAATTTTCTTTATTATTTTTTGTTGTTGACTGATTTAATTCTTGAACTTCTAAAACATGAGACATCTATCAAGTGCATCCAATTAAGTATTGCCTCTGCTCTTCAACTTAGTTATTAGAGGAGGAGACAGGAGGCTTTTGGCATACTGCAGTAAGGCATCAATGTATCTGTTTTTGTACTGATTGTAGCAGTAAGTCCTTCCTACCGTCCCCCATTTGTGCTGCCCAGTAGAGAAAACCTCAGAATTGTAATTGCTTAAAGTTTCAGTACTTAGCTATATTAAAATCTCAGCGCACACAAATTCAGAAAGAAGCTTAGTTCTAATGCCACCCCGTTAATGAGAAATGCTGACATTTGGACTTAAGAGATCACTCAAGTTGGATTTGACAGTAGCTCACTTTTGATCGAGAAGAAGGGTTTCTGACCTTGTTCTGGTTAACACAGAAGGTGATGTGATAAGGAGTCGGTAAGGTGGAATGTGTATATACTGGCTACTAGGCTAGTTCAGCACTGGAGATTCTAATTACAGCTTAGACTTACAGGTGATAATGACTATAGTGATAGAAAGCATCAACATTCCAGAAATAGGTTGCTGATGTAATTTAAGAAGTGTACATGTAATAGGAAGAACCTGAAGTTTCCTGAGAAGGATGCTGAATTAATTATTCTGGCACTCTAAACACAATCTATGGGGCTGTAGACTGAAAACTCCTTTTAAGTTTTGCAAGCCTTTAATTAACAAAGCTGTCCCTTTCTTCTGAAAAAAATAATGAGAGAATGGGAATAACAAGTGACTTGTCCAAGAAGGACAGCAAGTCAGTGGGGGGTGCTTATGCACTCATGTTGTATCCTGGTTCAATAGCTACTGCGTCTTTCCTTGTTTGCTGTTTTACAGGTCATTGATAAAAATACACACGCTATCCTCAGCTGATAGATCACAGGGCACAGCAACTATAGGAAAGCTAGGTGAAATTAGGAGTAGCTGAAATAGAGCAAATGGAACAGCCAAGTACTCTTAAATAATCAAGACTTTAACACTCAATCTCAGTGATAAAGCACTAAGAAGACCTTCAGCATTATCTGCTTACTTAAAACTTCTGTGCAGTGTTTGGAATGATTCATAAACTTGAATGTTGTAAGTTATCTTTCCAGGATGGCTGCTCCTGGTAACAGTCCTGCAGAAATGTATTGTCTTGGTCTTTGTTTACTGGATATTATTATAGTGATGGCAAACATCTGATGTCACCATTAGCAGTAGTGTTTCCATTTTCAGCTGCAGTGTTGTTGACACATGCAAAGACTGACTTTTCTGCTGCAGAATCACACTCTGAAGATAAGAGGAAGCCATCAGCCAGTTTGACTTGGCAGTGATTTTGCTTGATTTTGTGTAGGTCTCCAACAAGTGACCCATAAATCAGATCAGGAATATTCAGCCATTTGTACTAGAACAGCTTAAATTACAAAGATCAAGTTTCAAAGGCTTGCCATGCTGCATGTAGGGTTTTTGGAAGACTTTACTAATAATATTCCATGATTCCTGCCACAAACTGCAGGACAAAACATTTTTAAGGACCATTTAACTCATTCTTCTCTGTAAAAATGGGAGATTACAGGTTTTTTTTTTTTTTTGTGTAACTATGCTGTGTAATATTTTTCATATAAAGTACACTTAACTTTTGTCTTTTTGCTAGGAAATTATGTGGAGGTGAGCTTCAGAAGCTTATTTCATCTGAGGGAAGTGAATACGTTTGAGGCAGGGAATGTTCAAATAAAAGTAGCAACATTGTGAAGTTCATAGTAGAGAATTAGCAGATAATCAATCTGCCTGTAAGTAGAATTTATTATGAATTTGTGCTTAAGGTGCTTTTGCAATGAGTTGTTTTTTTTTTTTTTTTTTAAATATTACACTTCAGAATAAATTTTTAACTAGTTTGACAGCATTAAACAGAAAAGAGACATCAACAGGAGATTCTTGTGTTCATAAGAGACCTGTCTGTGCTTACAGGCTTTCAACTAATCTGATATTTACTCCATACCTTTAGGGATAACAATTTCTGTACTGTTATAACTTAATACTTTATTATTTGGCTCAAAGAAAATCCAGTTTTCCCTTCCAGTTGAAATGGATTTTGAATGCTGCTTATATCACTTCATTACTGCAATTCTTCTTGTAAATTCATGTTATCAAATATACTGTCTTGAGAGGGAATAACGAACTTCTACTACAAAGTCTCATCTACAGGTGCTAAGGAAGTATGACTCATTCAGAAGCATCAGCCACAATTCAGTGGTATGTCCCACAGCAGTGTCTCCAGTACGTGCTTTGGCAGCAGCAACTGTGCAGAATGTGTCATGCATTTCATACAGATGTTGGGATGTCTGACCTGTCTAGCTCAGTTGGATGACTTAGTCCTGCAGGAAGAGGAAAAAAAAAAAAAAAAAAAAAAAAAGCTATAATAATAACAGGGATTAATTAAATTAAATATACTCAAGTGCTAAATTACCATTTATAGCCACAGTACCATTATGCAATTTAGAAAATACTCACTGTCATTTCCAGAAGCATCCAAGTCGAACAGTCAGTTCTTCTAAGAGCGTTGAGTGGCCCTGCACAGGTAACCTATGCATAAACTGTAGATACAGATATACAGAAACAGCTTTTCAGCCTATTCCTACAGATGTTGACGTATCCATCACTACATCAGTAAAATAATTCATGCTGTGTTTCAGAACTTACCCATACTACAAAATGTCAATTACTATTCCCTCATTGTCCTATCAATTGAAATGCAGATCAAAGGAGTTCTTTGGCTGCTGTAGTTTATTTCAGTGTATGGCTTATACCAAACTAATGAGAGTCCTGTTCTTCAGTTACTCATCCCTGGGTTTCTGCTACAGTAGCTGTGTTGTATTACAGAATGTTTGAGTGAGAAAAACTGAATTGGAAAACAGAGAAATAATGGAAAATACATCTTGTATATTCAAATTAGTTCTTTCCTGAGTGCTTCCTCAGTTTGTAAGACTTGAAGTTCATTTTTTACTTTGACCATTCATCTCTTAAGTTTATCCATCCAAGAGGTAGAAATTCACCTCTGTTACTACTGTTATTGTTTGTTATGGGTTTGGGTAATACCTGTTTAGAAACTCCATAGAACAGCATATACAAGGGAACATAGAACTTGAAATAGAGGAAGGAGTAATGCATACAAGCAGAGGTGATGACTTAATATTGTAATAATTGTCGAGAAGTATTTTTTTTCTTTCCAGCTTTGCTTGGGAAACTAAAGGTACAGTAGTAATTCCCATTCAGTACATCACAGTTTGCTGTCAGTTCTTTTGGTAATGAATTACACCACTGCAGCACCTAAGCGACTTAGTCTAAAGAGAGAGGTTTTTCTGTGGCAATCCTCTTGCTTGTGCTACTGTGATTCTTCACAGTAGCAGTGTTTAGTTTTCAGCATATCACCTCTGAGCACCCTGTTGTAGCTTGAATTAAAACATCTGCAGAATAAAACAACTGTTACTGAGAACAAAAGAGTACATTTTAGAATTGAAAAGCAGAACTGCTAGGCCTATTTCTCAGTTCTTTGGCGAGATGCTCCTTTCCAAAACAGAAGCACTCACTCCCTCTATAGGCACAACGTGGAAGAGCAGATGAAGCCTCTGCATTCAGCGCATTTCACCTGCGCGATGTACTGAAAGCTACACCGACCAAGAGAAAGCGCTGCCCGCTGTCCCCGAGAGCTCCTCAGCACCGCGCGCTGCCTACATCAGCAGCCCGACGAGGAAGCAGCCAGGGGGCTCCCCTGCCCTCAGTTAAGATGGCGGCGGCAGCGCCGGGTCACGTGGTAGGGGCAGGATTTCCCCCTCCTCTCGGTAGCGGCGCTGCGGCAGTATGGAGCTGGCTGCGCTGGAGCGCTTCCTCAGCCCGGGCAAGGGCAGCGGACTCCGCTCCCGCCGGCGGGTGCGGCCCGGAGAGCTGCTTTACCGAGCCGAGCCCTTCGCCTACGTGGTGACCAAGGAGCAGCTGGGCGGCGTGTGCGAGCAATGCTTCCAGAGGTACGAACGGGCACGAGAACGCAGCACCGCCATCGTGTGCTGTCCCGCCTTATGGAGGCGGGACGGAGGAGTCGCATGCGTGTGGGTCGCGTGCGTCGGTACCGCCTACGGTGGGGGCACGTGGGCGGGGGCGCGGGGCGGGTGTGCGTAGGTGCTGTTCCCGCAGGTCTTTACCTAAGGTCAGAGGAGGCTTTTGGAAAGAAAAGAAGGAATTTAATCTCAGTAATCTTTTCGTTTTAACAACTGTTTGGTTCTCGTCGTGGTTACGCATTCCCAGAACCTCGCTTCCCGTCCTTACAGTACATCCCAGCTGCAATTTAAAGCGATAACGATGAGAGCCCCCTTCTCCCAGAGAATCGCGTGCTCGCGTGCTCCCGGGCACGCTCGCATCTGAGCTCAGTGCATTAAGAATACAAAAGTGCAGCCAGTGTTTCGGTGACGCCCGGCACGTGCTTTCAGGGCTGTGGGGAGGAGCGGTCGTTGCGCCGGCTGAGGTACAGTGGGCGGTTGTGCCATTACACGTTTATCTTTAAAAAAAATATATATATATATATATATATATATATATTTATTTATTTATGAAAGAGTGGTATCAGTTCAAATTAAGAGGTTAGCTAAAAGTTAAGAATAGTAAAAAGTATGTTCTCATTCTTCTTGCATCCACTCAAAGTGTGTAGTGGCTGGAAAAAGTCTGTGGGTCATAACTGTGCAAGCTGACTTTCTTCCTGTTTGTCCAGGCAAAGGCAAGTTACTCAGTTACTGATACATATATCCACACATAGGTGGTCCTTTTAATTTTTTTCAAAATATATATGTAAATCAGAGAAATGATGGTACCTGCTGAACTGTGAAGTAGAATTGAAGTGCTTCATGGGTCTGGTTTGCATTGAACAAGCAGTGAGATCTTATGAAAGGTAGATATGAGAAAAGCAGTTAACTGCTCCTTTCTCGTGAGAAAAGGTTGAGGGAACTGGGTTTGCTTAGCTTGTAGAAGAGAAGGCTCCAGGGAGACCTCATTGCAGCTTTCCAGTACTTGAAGAGAATATATAAACAAGAGGGGGAACGGCTGTTTATGAGGGTGGATAGTGTTAGGACAAGGGGGAATGGTTTTAAACTGAGACAGAGGAGGTTTAGGTTAGATATTAGGAGGAAGTTTTTCCACACAGGGTGATGACACACTGGAACAGATTGCCCAAGGAGGCTGTGGATGCCCCATCCCTGGAGGCATTCAAGGCCAGGCTGGATGTGGCTCTGGGCAGCCTGGTCTGCTGGTTGGTGATCCTGCATGTAGCAGGGTGGTTGAAACTAGATGATGGTTGTGGTCCTTTTCAACCCAGGCCATTCTATGCTCCTTGCAGATAACTCACCTTGGATACAACTTACACTTTTTTTTCTGATCTCTAGGTGGCAGTACAGGAACACGATTTGAAAAAAAAAAACAACAACTTTTTTTTCCTCTTGAAAATGATTTAGCATTTATTGATCTCATACAATACAATCCTTATACTATGAAGAGTAATTCCATGCTGACTTCTGTCTCTGTTGTGGTTTAACTTGGAAGGTGGCTGAACATTCACTCATCCCTTCCCTTCCCAGTGGGACTGGGGAGAGAATAACCAAAAAAAGCCAAAGTAGAACTCCTGGGTTGAGACAAAACCATCTACTAAGGTAGAGAGAGGGAAGAAGATAATAGTTATGATGCTTCATATATATATATATGTATATATATATATAAATATATTAAAATATTTTAAAACACTTTAAAATAATAAAATAAATATTTAAAATGTTACATTTATATAACATTTTCTGTAAATGTGTGTATATATATAAATGTATATGTATATAAATGTATTTAACAAATTGTGCACAAGTAATTGCTTACCACCCCCAACCGATGCCCAGCTGACCCCCTGAGCAGTAGAAGAGAGCAAAGTGAACTCCCACCCCTTCAAAACTCCTTCCAGGTGATGTCATATGGTATGGGATAACCAGTTTAAGTCAGCTGTTCTAATTCTTTTCCCTCCCAGATCCTCGGGCCATTCGCTGAGATTGGCCATGGCTCCAATGAGCTCTGCTTAGCAACAATTATAAACATCAGTGTGTTACCGGCATTGTTCTTCTCCTAGAACCAAAGCATAACATCATACCAGACGCTCTGAAGAAAACAGTTCCGTCCCAGTTTGTATTATTATTATGTGTATTGATAATTATAAATTATATATACAACATTGCACCTTTTGGCTGTGTGAAATGCTGAAGATTGATACTGATACGCAGTGTCTAATTTCTGCAGTGTGTGGGGGGAGGCAGCATGGTCTGCCCTGGACACAGGGTCACAGATTTGTGTTACTTCCCTGACATGCTTTGTGGCCTTGTCTTGGTGCTTATAGCTGAGATGCTGAGCAGGGCATGTTCATCCAGGATGGGTCCTAGGAGAACAAATGACATAGGGTTGCATGGCCATAGCTTTTTGCCAAAGGATATCTGTGGCATGATGGGGTGATGCCTTGCTGTAGATATGCCATTTTGTGCCATTATGGAAGTCTGGAAAGATTTGGTTGGCCAACATCTTGCTGAGGAAAGCAACAGAAAAGATTCATTCTCTCCTGTTAATCCAAGATTTTCTGTATGGCTTCTTCCATGTCTCTCTAAGGTGGATTCTGTGACATTACTGCTCAGTACAGATTTATATATATGGAGTTATGTAAAGAAAGCTCAGTTTCATCTAAAAAAAACCACTGGGATTTCTGTTCTGTTGGACACTGATAGAGGTGTTGAGTAAAGCTAGTTGCCAGTGATGCCTGGAAACTCTTATAACTTCTCTTTCTTCTGGAAACTGACTGTTAAGATTTTCCCCTTTGTGTCCTATACCTGGCTGCCAGCATTTGCACAATTATGTACTCATCTGTGCATGGATGTCCTCATGAAACTTGAGCAAGCTCAGGTTCCTTCACAGGAGCTGTGCTTGCTCTTCCCTTGTAGGCTTTATTCATCCAATTGATTAATAATCTTATTCTTTACTATAGTCTATTGTCTTACTGGGATTAGAAGCCAGGCTTACATTTACTATAGTCAAGTGGGTGTGATGATGGTAATTTTTAATTTCCTTAGAAAATGGAAGCACTGCAAGCACTGGAATGCTTTATGTGTATATTGAGAGTTCTGCTTTTAATGTCCCATGAGATTATAGGTTGTATCAAAAAACATTGATGTTTTCAACTATCTACCCAATTTTTTAAGTTTAATGGCAAACACTAATTTGACCTATTTTTCTTTCATTAGTTGCTATTATTTTTAATATTCCCTTTTGTTTAATCTTATGGCTTATTAGAATCAGCTTTATTTAGCTGATCGGACTAGAGGTTCTGTTAAAGTCTGGGTATTGCATATTACTTCTTGATTTAACAAAATAGTCACAAGTCAGTACTGGCTTTTAATGTGGGAAGACATAACATTGCCAAGTTTGCTTGCATGCACTGATTTATCATTCCTGAGTTTAATAAGTTTGGTTTGATGGTGCTAGTTTGCTCAGGTTGTTAAATCTTCACATTGGTTTCAAAGATTTCCCTTATCTGAGAAGTGAATCAGAAGTGGCATGTCTGTGCTTGGCAAAATTTCCTTCCTCTGTGTATTTAATTAATCCTTGCGGATTGACTTCTCCTGGAGATGTGTGGTACCCATGGCACTGTGTAGTCTGACCTTCAGATTTTGTATTAAATCTATACTCAGTCTGTTATAGAAGTCAATTGAGAAGGCAAAAAACACTCCTGTGATGTGTAGTATTATCACAACCATCCAGTGTGAGAGAGCCATGAAGATGATCTGAGGGTTGGAGCACCTCCCCTGTGAGGACAGGCTGAGAGAGGTGGAGCTCTTCAGCCCGGAGAAGAGAAGGCTCCCAGGAGACCTCATAGTGGCCTTCCAGGACCTGAAGGGACCTACTGGTGAGGAGGGACTTTTTATAGCAGAGCGTAGTGACGGGATGAGGGGAAATGGCTTTAAACTGGAAGAGGGTAGATTTAGACTAAATTTAGGTTTTAGGAAGAAATTCTTTACTGTGAGAGTGGTGAGAAGCTGGAACAGGTTGCCCAGTGAGGTTGTGAATACCTCCTCCTTGGAAGCATTCAAAGCTAGAAGAAGATAGAAGTTTAGCACATGTGAGACTTTCACTGATGCATGAAGCCATAGCACCTGAGCTGCCTACTTATTTCTTTCCAAAAACTACTTTCTTCACTGTTTAATGTAGAGATAGCTTCAAGACTCTGCTAGCTTCTTGAAAACAAACTCTTGGCTCACTTTGTGATTTTGCTTGCCTCCCTCAGCAACTGTCAGGGTGGCCAGGGAGTTTCTCATGCTCCTGTTAAACGTATCTTGTGGGCTGCCTTTTTTCTTGTCTTACAGTTTTTTGTTTGGTTTGTTTTTCCACCTCTTAGAGATGTGGTTTGGGAATGTCATTTGTGTTCTGTTTGCTGTAAACCCTCCTTTCCTGTTGGCAGTGTTTCAGTATTCACTGCCCACGTCCCTCCCTTCACCCCCAGTCCCAAGGCTGCTGTGATTGCCTTCTGCTGCCAACCTGGCTTGGATCCTGGCCATAATAGAAGTGTAGAAATGGAAAACAGAGAGGTGTTACTAAAAATGTTTGACTAGATCAAATATTTATTGCTGTGTCTGTCATTTATGGAATATCAAAATTCAAGCTTAGATGTGCTTTAAAAGTCTATAAAGATCTTAATGTTGTGATTCTGCAAGTATAGTTTTCATGCTTATACAGATCTGTAACATCAAAGCTGGATAACAATTATTTTGTCAAGCAATGGCTGACAATTTAAGTAGCAGTCTTGCAAATTCTTCTGAATTCACCATGTGTCTGCTATGGACATCTGATGTTATATTTCTTTTCTGCACAGTTCAGCCCATAATATTAGTTTCTTAAATAATAGCTTCCACAGGACTGTTCTCTGCCGGTAGTAAATGAGAGCCACCAAAATGAGTTTATG